TTTGTATAATGACAAAGGTATGACAGGTATTACAAGGAGAAGGTGACTTTTCAGGACATTACCCCATGTCCCCACTTTTCAAAACGCTTATAAATCACACAGAATGGAGTGTATTGAAAATCTGAAATAGCAGAAAGTCTCCTGTGAGGGGTAGGTTTAGGGGGAGGGTTGGTGTAGGGCAATAGAATATACGGTCTGTACAGTATAAAAACCATTACGCCTATGGAGAGTCCCCACTTTTCACAAAAACAAACCTGTGTGTGTGTGTGAGAGAGAGAGAGTGTGTGTGTGTGTGTGTGAGAGAGTGAGAGTGTGTGTGTGTGTGTGTGTGAGAGAGAGAGAGTGTGTGTGTGTGTGTGTGTCTCTGTTTTACAGTGAGGTGTTATTGTCTCTGCAGCTGGGCACGTCTCCGCTGCACCTGTCGGCTCAGTTCGGTCATTACTCCACCACAGAGGTGCTTCTGCGCGCTGGTGTGAGTCGAGACGCTCGCACTAAAGTGGACCGGACACCGCTGCACATGGCCGCGTCTCAGGGTCACACACGCATCGTGGAGCTGCTGCTGAAGGTGAGCGAGCGCCGCATTAGGGGCCGATGGCTCTTTGATGTTGCATTTGCTGTAATTTGCTGCTTTAAGTGTGGCCTTTCATCATCCAACAACGACTCCATTCATGTGTGTTTCTGCAGCACGGCGCCGACGTGAACGCCAAGGACATGCTGAAGATGAGCGCGCTGCACTGGGCCGTGGAGCACAGCCACAGAGACGTGCTGGAGCTGCTGCTGCGCTTCGGAGCTGATGTTCACGCGCAGAGCAAGTTCTGCAAAAACGCGCTGGACATCGCGCTGGACAACAGCAGCCACGAGCTGGCCGAGATCCTGCAGGTACACGCTTCATCACAGGCTCTTCTTCTGAGCTCTGCTTCTTCAGACGCTCTCAAGCAGTTTTCCTCTCAATGCTCGACTGTCCAAGTCTTTGATACGTGAGTGGTTTGGTGACAGCGCCACCTACTGATAAAATCAGGCATGAAAAACAACTGTTCTGTCTTTTGGATTCACACTACGATTAGCATTTTGTTCTTTACAGCAATCTTTTCTCCAAATTCAGTCAACTCCTTCAGTCTCAGATCACCTTCAGTGCATCCGGGGGCTTTCTGGTGTCAGAAACACACATTTGTTGACAAAAACACCAAACACAAAGTGAGGCTACATTTCAACATCACTTTTGTCCATATTGTCACCAGAGAGTCGTTCGCTTCACCAGAAGATAAAGTTATGACCAGAGTTATTATAGTTAATTAAAACTGAAACCCATAAGAAACAGCATTTTAGTTAATTTAAATAAATAATATAATTTAAGTAACTGAAATAAAATCAAAAAAAATTTTTTTTTAATTTCAGCTAGTTTTCAAAGCAACATTTTACATTTTTGTTTAGTTTAACCTGAAGAACTAAAATGAACTGAACTGAAACTGAAACAAACATTAATAAAAGACATAGACATATATATAAAATAGCTAACAAAGACAAACAATAAAATTACTAAAACATTCAAATTAAATAAAAATTAATTTAAAATGATTAAAAAATAGTAATAGTATCTTAACAGTTATGACATTTTCATATATACATTTTTTTTAATGAAGCATGCATGAATGAATCTTCCGGACTTTAAACTGTTCTGAAAGTAGCATCAGTGCATCGATCAGACGGATCAGCTCAACCGTTCATTGTGTGTTCGGCCCTCGACTGCTGCTCGAATCATGAATTTCATTTCTTTTACACTGATGTAATTTAATGTACCTCTGTAATACAAAGTAATGATGTTTATTAATAATATTGATGAAGTGGTTTTAATAATTAGCATAAACCAGAACATGTTTATGAATATGATGATTGTGCATCAGGTGGCGATGCAGAACCAGATCAACACAAACCCCGAGAGTCCGGACACACTGAGCGTCCACACGGCCGCGCCGCGGTTCATCATTGGTTCAGGACGAGTGAACCTCGCCGGACTCGTGTCGCACGCAAACCACAGCAAATCCACAGGTGACCCGACCTGCGTTTATGAATGACCTCCTTTGTCAGACGCACACGTGACACACGACATGATTGTGTGTTTGCCCTCCACGTAATGAAGAAAATTACCCTGCAGTTATTTGAACAAACAGTGTCTCAGAGCAGCATCAAAGCACTGATTAGACTGAAATAAGCCTGATGTTGTTGTGTAGAGTAAGTGCATTCTGATGGAGATGTTGATCTGATGGTCATCTCTGATGCAGTCGTGGCCGCAGAGGAGCTGATCACCGCAGACTCTGTCGATGGAGCCATACAGCAGGTCATGAGCTCTGGAGGTCAGCAGGTCATCACCATAGTAACAGACGGCATTCAGCTGGGCAACCTGCAGACGGGGACAGGCATCAGCCAGCCCATAATAGTCACCATGCCTGACGGGCAGCAAGGTGAGAGAAACATATAAGCATCAACATCTAGAGAAATGTGTGTGTGTGTGTGTGTGTGTGTGTGAGTGAGAGAGTGTGTGTGTGTGTGTACCTGGTATTTATCATGTTATGGGGACCAAATCTCCCCACAAGGATAGTAATACTAGTCAATTTTGACCTTGTGGGGACATTTTTGAGGTCCCATGAGGAAACAAGCTTATAAATCATACAGAATGAGTTTTTTTTGAGAAAGTAAAAATGCAGAAAGTTTGTGTGGGGTAGGTTTAGGGGTAGGGTTGGTGTAGGGCAATAGCACATACAGTTTGTACAGTATAAAAACCATTACATCAAAAAAAATTTTTTTTTAATTTCAGCTAGTTTTCAAAGCAACATTTTACATTTTTGTTTAGTTTAACCTGAAGAACTAAAATGAACTGAACTGAAACTGAAACAAACATTAATAAAAGACATAGACATATATATAAAATAGCTAACAAAGACAAACAATAAAATTACTAAAACATTCAAATTAAATAAAAATTAATTTAAAATGATTAAAAAATAGTAATAGTATCTTAACAGTTATGACATTTTCATATATACATTTTTTTTAATGAAGCATGCATGAATGAATCTTCCGGACTTTAAACTGTTCTGAAAGTAGCATCAGTGCATCGATCAGACGGATCAGCTCAACCGTTCATTGTGTGTTCGGCCCTCGACTGCTGCTCGAATCATGAATTTCATTTCTTTTACACTGATGTAATTTAATGTACCTCTGTAATACAAAGTAATGATGTTTATTAATAATATTGATGAAGTGGTTTTAATAATTAGCATAAACCAGAACATGTTTATGAATATGATGATTGTGCATCAGGTGGCGATGCAGAACCAGATCAACACAAACCCCGAGAGTCCGGACACACTGAGCGTCCACACGGCCGCGCCGCGGTTCATCATTGGTTCAGGACGAGTGAACCTCGCCGGACTCGTGTCGCACGCAAACCACAGCAAATCCACAGGTGACCCGACCTGCGTTTATGAATGACCTCCTTTGTCAGACGCACACGTGACACACGACATGATTGTGTGTTTGCCCTCCACGTAATGAAGAAAATTACCCTGCAGTTATTTGAACAAACAGTGTCTCAGAGCAGCATCAAAGCACTGATTAGACTGAAATAAGCCTGATGTTGTTGTGTAGAGTAAGTGCATTCTGATGGAGATGTTGATCTGATGGTCGTCTCTGATGCAGTCGTGGCCGCAGAGGAGCTGATCACCGCAGACTCTGTCGATGGAGCCATACAGCAGGTCATGAGCTCTGGAGGTCAGCAGGTCATCACCATAGTAACAGACGGCATTCAGCTGGGCAACCTGCAGACGGGGACAGGCATCAGCCAGCCCATAATAGTCACCATGCCTGACGGGCAGCAAGGTGAGAGAAACATATAAGCATCAACATCTAGAGAAATGTGTGTGTGTGTGTGTGTGTGTGTGTGAGTGAGAGAGTGTGTGTGTGTGTGTACCTGGTATTTATCATGTTATGGGGACCAAATCTCCCCACAAGGATAGTAATACTAGTCAATTTTGACCTTGTGGGGACATTTTTGAGGTCCCATGAGGAAACAAGCTTATAAATCATACAGAATGAGTTTTTTTTGAGAAAGTAAAAATGCAGAAAGTTTGTGTGGGGTAGGTTTAGGGGTAGGGTTGGTGTAGGGCAATAGCACATACGGTTTGTACAGTATAAAAACCATTACGCCTATGGGATGTCCCCATAAAACATGGAAACGTGTGAGTGTGTGTGTGTGTGTGTGTGTGTGAGAGTGTGTGTGTGTGTGAGAATGTGTGTGTGTTTGCGCGGCTCTCTCAGTGTGTGTGTGTGTGTGTGTGTGCGTGCATGAGTGTGTGTGTGAGAGTGTGTGTGTTTGCGCATCTCTCTCAGTGTGTGTGTGTGTGTGTGTGTGTGTGTGAGAATGTGTGTGTGTTTGCGCGGCTCTGTGTGTGTGTGTGTGTGTGTGTGTGTGTGTGTGTGT